CAAAAATAAAATATGAAAAAATAATTTATTAATTATTAATAAAAATTTTCTAATCTTGAATTATTTTAATAGCAAATTTGATTATTTGATATAGTTGTTTAAGGATCAAATTTCTTTTCTTTTTTCCATATAGAAGATAAATTGTTATTAGTAGAATATTAATATTGCTTTTGAATTTTAAAATAATTGAAAAACAGTATTCCAAGATGTCTCCTATTTTGAATACATGCAGCAAAAGATCCTTGTCAATAATAAACATAATATTATTCCTTATATGGTTAGAATTGCTATAGATAATTGCTTTTTTATTGATATTCTTTGGATGAGAATTTTCTTTTTTAAGTTTTGTTTTGATGCACATTAAAATGAATCTACTGTTTGTTATGTTTACTAAGGCTTTGGATTTGATTAGATCATTAAGACCTTTGGTGTTAATGGTAGTGAAGGTAATAAAATTTTTTGTATTGTTAATATTGTTAAATTGGTTTGTGTGATTTGAGGTAAAAGATTTAAAAGATTTCTATAATGAGTTTTCAGTAGATATATTTGTAGTGTTTTGGATGAATAGATTTTGTTAGGTATTTAATAAGTTAGAATTGGTTGCTGTATTAAGTATGTTGGAGTTGCTAAACATGTTATTTAATATAAAAAAGAAAAAAGATCAAACACCGGTTCTGGAAGTATCTCTCTAATGATAAGGGTGTCAGGTAATCTGGTGAATAAGAATATTTGATAGAGTTGATAGAGGACTGTTAAGAGGGTATCATTGTCAACTAGAGAAAATTTAAGAGTTATAAGGCTTTTGTTTGATAGAATTTTATTAATTTCTTGTGAATCTTCAGGTAAAAAAACTTGCAGGTTAGTAAACCAGTTCTCTGGAATTTTTTGAAACTCATAGAATTCATATAGAATTTTGATTTTTTTCTTGAGTTGGATATCACTATGAAAGAGCTGTTTAATGTTAAGATCTGATTTAATATTCTCTAATTTTCTTGAAAGTTTTGATTTATTTGTCTAAAAAATTTTAGAAGATATTTAGAGTGGATCTAATGGAAATGAAAAGTGGTATTCAGATTTTAACATTCTGATTAAAAACTAAATATCATAAGAATTTGTAATAGGAATTTGGATTTCTAGTTTGGATCAGTATTTGTTAATTATTGATGAGAAGGTTGGAAGAAGTCTTCTGGATTTGAAAAAATTGAAAGAAAGCCATTTGAAGTAATATTTGACTCTGAGGCTTTTGACAGCATTTCTAATACTGTTTACTGATATGTCAAGTAAAAAGAGATATGTAAATTCCGAATCCAACAGGTTAGGAGATGAAGAGAGAGGAATTTTGGAAGGTGGAAGGTTAAAGTAAGTTAATGGGATTTTAGAATAAATACTAAAAAAGTTCATAAGTTCTTTAATTATATTTCTCAAGTTTTTGAGATCTTTTTTCTTCCTGATTGGAAAGAAATGTGAAACTTCCTTGGGAAGTTCTTGGGGATGGTTAAGAAGGTTTGGAAGAGTAATAAAGTAGAAATCAAAAAGAAAGGTAAATTTGTAAAGGGAATGGAAGGATCCTGCAACACTTTCTGTCATGCTTCTGTCAAGAATGGATATCCTGTGAGAGATTTTAGCCTTTATTCGAGAAGGAATTAAGTTTGAAGAAATGAAAAGCTCAAGGAGATTGTCTTGGAACATTTTTTTGCTTTTTGAAAAAATTTGTGATAATCAAGTTTTTTGTCTTCTCTGGGTTAACAGAGATAGTTGCATTTATATTCTATGATTTGTGCTAAGAGGTATAAACTGAGATCAAAGATATTAATGTATCTTAAGTAGGCAATGAATAGACTGGTGCTTAGTAGCAATTTGATTTTAAACCTAATTTCTTTGTTAAGCTCTGTAACCTTGTGCTTGGTTCTATAAATTTTTTGGAATCTGTCTTCTAGCTTTTCATACTCTTTTTAATGATCTTCTTTAAGTTCGAATGTTTTGTTAAAGTTGAAGAAACCTCTGTCCCTAGCCTCTATTTTAATGAAAATAACTAAATAAGATTTCTGTCTAACTTTGTCTTTGGGTTGTTGATTAATGTCTAGTAGAAGTTTGATGAGTTTTTCAGGATTTTTTCTAATTGTGATAAGTTTGGATGCCTATTGAACAATATGATAGTTCTTGCTGATAAGATCATCAGAAATGTTCAGATTATCCACTTCATTATTAGTGTTAATAGTTATATCATAATCTTTTATTCTTGAGTGTTTTAGGATAAGGTTTTCTTCATATACCTATAGTCTCTTGTATGCTGTATCCAGTTTTCCTTTATAAGTGTTTCTTTCTATTGGACATTCTTGTTTATATTATTGTCTGAGAGGTTAGACATTTCTGAAAATAGATAAGGAGGAACATGAGAATATAAGGTTAACCAGGAATAGTAGTTGATTATGATATAATGGAAGTATTTAATAAGTAGTTATTATGATTGTTTTTTTTTTCTGATAAATATATAAACTTATAGTATTTCCCATATCTATATTTTCTGGGATGGAAAAGTTTAAGTCTATAAACATGGATAAGTCGTCTTTGTACAATTCTTTGATGAATAATTGTTTGTAATTGATAGGTGCTTTTGAAAAATTTGATTGGATATTGGTTTGAAGTGAGCTGAGTTGTAATTGGACAATCATGTTGTTAATTAGTAAGATTTGATTGGCAGCTGAAGAGTTGTCTTATGATTCTATGTAGAAGTTCGACATCTTTGACACTTTACTAGAAAAAGACATGCTGGCTGTAGCTGGGTAAATAGTACTTCCCAGTTGATATGTTCTTGTAAGAGGGAATGTTTTGGACTTTTTAAATGGAGTTTTGTTAACTTGAATTATATTTCAGGAAATATGTTTTGAATAATTTTAGCCTTTTGCAATAATATTCTGAAGAATTTAATTTCTTAGTTAACTATTTTTTATAAAAACTTTCTAAAATAAGTTGTGATAGTCTAAGAATTTGTTCAGCAGCTGGATAGGTTTTTTTTTATGGATCAAAACTTGTACATGCAGACTATTGTTATCCTTTGATATTGTGAATTTTATTTGAAAGATTGAAAGGATTGTGGAATCTAATTTGATAAGATTTGTGATAGGGATAAGCCACTTGGAAGGATGATTGCTAAGAGAAGAAACTATTAGGGTTTTGAAAGGTTCAGTAAGAATAATTTTTTTTTTTGATTTAGATAGATTATTGACATATAACATCTTGTTCTCTTCACAAGAATAACATTTAGAAGTATATTGCTATTCGAATTTGTTATAGTTGGTTGAGAACTTAAGTTGCTATTAGCTATTGTGATTGGGTTTTGTTTAGTTATTGTTGTTTATTTGCATTAGATCATATAATTATTTTGATATTGTTATTTGTTATTTGTTACTTGTTAGAACATATGACTTATACTTAATTATTTGTTTATTAATAAAGTATAAAGTTGTTTAATTGATATCGATATAGTTAGAATTGACATGATTTATTATTGATATGCTTTAATATTAATGTGTTTTGTTATTGACGTGATATACTACTGTTGATGTGTTCTTGATATTAATACATATTGACATGTTTTGATGATGTGTACATATTGTTTACTTGTTAACTGTTTCTTTTAAATATGTGTTCATAACACATTAAATTTGGAGGGGATAAACTGGTTTTGGTTTTTTATGAACTGGAGATATATATGATAAGATTTTCTCTTATCTCTATATAGTTGATGAAAAGTCTGACATTTTTCTAGCTCAAGGAAAGTGATGAGGTTGTTTGATTTATCAGATTAAATCTGATTTTACTTGAATTTCTACAGTGTCTAAAGAAGGTGTTAAATCTAACACATAACTAATTGTAGTGATAATAGGGATGCAGGCTTTCTGAGACCTTATTGTGAATCAGGAAGCTTGGTTTTTATCTTTCTCTCTTACAAAAAAAAGATAAGCTGTTGACTGTTTGCTTATAATATCTATGAATTAATAATGTTAATGTAATCAATGTAATTGCAATATCATACCTGTCGGTTGTAGTGTTTCTTGAGATTTAAAATATTTTGGTAAAGGAAATTTGGTAGAATTTTTTCTTTTTTGAAAAGATTTCCTAATTAGAAAATTTGGTGATAGACGGGAAAAGTGTTTAACATATTTATATTCTATAAATAATATTGAATCATTAAAAATAGTATAATAACAATAATTTAAAAATAGCAATTAGTAAAATAAATAGCTAAATAATAGATTAAAAAAGAATAAAAATATCCGTATAAGATTCGTTTTTAATGAAAAATTCTGAAGATAAAGAAATCGGAGATAAAGAAATCGGAGATTCAGGTATCTTTTTTTCCGCTGTGCTGGCTTCGTCATTAATTATTAATATTGTATTGTTTACATAAATTGAATGACGTCACGTTACACCATCATGCTTTGCAAGCGTTATTTTTCAGAGACAATAGCGGTTTTGGTAATGTCATTAGGTGTAACGTCTAATGTTGAAATCACTTCCAAGGTATACCATTCTGTTTCTCTTTTAAAGATAAATCTTAATCTTTGAGTGATTCTCGATAATCCAAAATCTAGGGGCGTTATTTATCCATTTAGTTTAATTTACTATTTGGGCTTGGTACTACCAAATAAAAGATTGCCCCAATAGTTACGAGTACCTCAATAGTTATAATGGTTATATGAATTTACTAGAGTACCTTAATGGTGACAAGTAAGAACATACATCATATTTCTAAGGTTTCATTCTATTCTGGATTCGATTCTATTCAAATTCAAGTCTTATATTAAATTAGGTAGGTGGGGTATAACCGATTATAGTAATTTACTAAGTATGCAAGTCTATGCGAGTCTATGCGAGTCTAATACTCACTTCAAGCTTACAAAAAGAGGTCCTCCGATTAAAAAAAAATTTTTTTGTCGATTTTTCCTGCCTTCCGTCTAAGTGTACTTTTTTTACTATTTATTTTCTTTGAAATTATGATGTCTAATGCATATAAATATTTCTGGGGGGTACTTTCGGTGTTCCTTATCCTTGCTAGTTCCGTCTCAGCTTCAAAAGGTAAATATACGGTTCACGAGTTATGATTCATTGCTATCTGAAACTTAAATTCTCATAGGAACACTAAAGATTCGTGCGGACTCCTCAAACATAACCGAACAAAACAGTAACGCAATCGCTGGCTGCAGCAGTTCTAATGATTTTGATGAATCTACTTATAACTTTGGATTTCACCTTGGTGCTTTATTCATCATTCTGGCGACAAGTTCCTTCGGTTAGCATTAATTCTTATTTTCATTTTCAAGTTTTATAACTTACACTACCATCAACACAATTAGGAGCGTTTCTGCCGGTCTTCTCGAAAAAATACCCAAGGTTCAAGCTTCCTCAGGCAGTTTTCTTTTGTAAGTGATCTATTGACTTCTTAATTTCTTCGATAAACATTTAATATTTTTTCAATAATAGTTACAAAGAATTTTGGTTCCGGTGTAATTCTTGCCACCGCATTTATTCACGTAAGATACAGATTGTCAACAGTATCTTGGGTTCTCATTAATAATAAAATCTTTGTCACGTGAAAAAATTAGATGCTTCCGTCAGCATTTGATAGTTTAACAAATCCATGCTTGTCATCAGTATGGAGTAACTATAATGCTTGGCCAGGAGCTATTGCAATGATGTCTGCATTATTTATATTTTTTTTGGAATACTTCGCCGTAAAATTACAATCCAAGAAAGATATGCACCCTACAGACGCGATGCAAAACATCATAATTTCTTCGGAATTAAAATCAGAAACTGGAAATCATCATTGCCGTCATGGAAGCTTCATTTTTCTTACGAACGAGGCACAAATCCTAGGCATTATTATTCTGGAAATTGGTATTTGTTTTCATTCAGTAATAATCGGGATCGCTTTATCAGTTGAAGACGGATCTACTTTTGTATCGCTACTGATAGCCTTGGTATTCCATCAGGTATGATTATATGGTTATTCCAATGATGCAAATGCAATGTCAATTTCAGTTTTAATTCACATACGTATAATAGTTATTTGAAGGCCTGGGACTTGGTTCACGAATAGCAGAGCTAGAATATGATAAAGGAAGTTATAAGCCTTGGCTAATGTCGTTGACTTATGGAATTACCACCCCATTGGGAATTGCTATTGGTCTGGGAGTCCGCCGAACATATTATAAAGGGTCCGAGACCGCGCTCATCACACAAGGAGTACTCGACTCTGTTTCGGCTGGTATTCTATTGTATGTTGCGCTAGTGGAATTGATTGCAAATGACTTTATATATGATGAAGCTTTTCGAAAGAAAAGTAACTTGGTACAAATTTCAGCTTTCATTTGTCTCACAATGGGAGCTGGTGCTATGGCATTGATTGGTGAGCAAGTTTTCTCGCTAATATTTGGATTATTTGCATTTCTTTTTTTTAACGCATGTTTTTTAAATATGATATAGGAAAATGGGCATAAATTAAAGAAAAAATCATTATTATTATTATTATCTGTATATTACCGGGTTCACATGAACCCCTTGTAATTATTACAAAATCCATAGAAGTTTTTGTTATCGAATTCATGTATTTGTTATTATGTTTCTGTATTATTGTATTTGTATGTCATCTCAAGCAAAAAAAAACAATTTTTTTATTATTTAAAGAAACAAAAAAACACCGTTTTATCATACGGAATATTTTCTGAATTTCATTTTTATCAATAAAAAAAATGCGCGTTTGTAAAAGTTATGCGTAACTACTACTGAGTCTTGTTTTAAGTCATGGTGACGTATTCTGCGGAACAGAAAACCATCTTCTCGAAAGACAAGAATCTTTGCTACTGAATTTTTTATTATGGTAATAATATTTAAGTACATTATTACAATATATTATCGATGTACTGTATATTATAAAGATAATGGAAAACGTTTGATAATGCGAATTTTTAAGAATTCATCATATGCTTGGAATTGTGAATTTCTTACAACAAGACTTTTTAACATGAATAGATTATTTTTACTGTATATACTGTATACATTACGTACTATATATTGATCATTTGAAAATTCCTTTTTCGAGAATTTATAAATTTCCACAAAAATAATATAATTCTAAACCATTTGATTTATAGGATGCATATATTACATTTTAATAAAAAAGTAATTTTTTTTTTTTTAAAAATAATTTCAACAATTAGAAAGTACGATGGATTATTTGTTTCTAATTATTAATTTTAAAAAGTTTAATGGATGTCTAGTGCATATTATATTTATTTGAATTTCTTTTTAAATAATATACACAGTATGATATACACTAATTATATAAAATTTAGATTACCCATAAATCTATTTCTAAAAATGCTTGCTGATTCTGAATTTTATAATTATATTTAAAAAAATTTTTTTTTTTTTGTTTCTTGAAATGCCTAAATTCAATTCGTATTCTGTAATCAAATCTTTATACTTATTACTTAAACAAATATCTGATAATCTATAAAAAAAATAATTTAAATGTATTTATATTTTTTTGTTATTTTAAATTAGCTGTTAATTACAGTACATATACAGTACATTAGCTTAATTCAATAGAACTTTAAAGTATATTCTTATAAAAAATTTTTATTAATACTTTATACTGTATTATAAGTATATTGATAAATTAATATTTTTATTAAATGCTAATTTAATTGTTAAAAATGAAATCAAAATGAAATTAAAATGAGTTGTTGTCCTTTATCAAAATCTTTTTTTTCATAATTGTGTACTGTATTTCTTTTGATAATTGGTTTTATGTTATTATCAATCATTGTGACTAACTTCAATATTATTATCATATATCTATGTTTGGTAATTTCAACATATTTTGATTAATGTTGGATCGAACCTATATATGGTTTTATGCAGTAATAGACAAAAAAAAAGAGAGAAAATAATAATTACCTTTGGAAGAGAGTAAGACCATATAAAAGCTGTGAAAAGCAATAGACTACACAAGAAACATCTTGTTGAAAGTGAGAAATCAATCATCTGATTGGTATCATAAAATGATCAGTAAGTTGGAAAAAACATGATTAATTACTTGTGAAAAGTGAATAGTGAGTTATAAATTATAACTCAGGTTCTAATATTTTATCAAAAAAAAACCTACCAATAGCGTAACCACTATCAAGTTCAAAGGAACTCTGAATAGATTCCCGATGGTTGCGCGTAAATGTTCGGGAACAACTTTGGCGCGGAATGTTCCGATCAATGGAAAATAAATTCCGCATGTCGTTTCAAACACGATGAAGGATATAAAGAGTATGAGTTCGCTCTATTCGAAGGTATAGGAAAATATTGGCATAAGGAACATAATAAATGCAACATATATTTGTAATTCTTACTTGAAAAAATATGGGTATTAATAGTGAAACGGAAGCTGTAAAAAGAGTTAAATTTGCAATTGCAGATAATGAAATATTTTGAGTGCCACTCATGTGACTATATATCAAAGATCCAATCATGATTGAAACCATGAAACTATCAATTAATGAGAACGTATTCAAGAATACATTCAATGAAATGTTAAAATTTTCCACATCAGAAATATAACCAAATTTTCCGAGACAACTTGATACAATAATTCACCTGGCAAAAATCATGCCAAAAGGCAATTCCGCGGAAAAATGTTCCAAAAATGGACCCCATATGAATATAAAAGTATACATGGATGCTTCAAAGAGAGATTGAATAACCCCGACCGCAAGGATATGGGAATCTAAGCAGAAGATGAAAATTGATTCATTGATTCCATTAGGATATTTAAAATGTTATTAATTACCTTTATTGATGATCTTTAAAGCCTGAGATAAAAACGATGAATCTCCTAAAGAATTCAACTAAAACAAAATGTCATTATATTTTGACAATAACTAAATATATACTGTATGTTGAGTGAAAGAAAAAAAAAATACCCTTTCAGGCTCATTTCCGAAATTTTCTTTCCAGGTAGTCGCAATCACCGATGCGGCGGTTGAAAAAAATCCGATTGCTGCCAAGAAGGGAGTTGTGACGTTGCATTTTTTCACCAGCAAATTAGCGATTAAACCACAGACTATTGCTACTAATCCATTGCCAAATGTTGCGTAGGAAAATGTGCTAGAAATCAAATGCGCAAAACCTATTGTGAACGATCGTTTTAATCAGTATAACATTATCGCGTTCTTTGGATTTCACATCAACTTTACAACCTCTCGAGAAATGTTCGCTGACCATCCAGGCCTCAAAAACCGAAAATAAGAGGGAAGTGCTGATTCCTCCCAGTATTCTAAATATAAAAAAAGTCGATGTAACATTTGATGGTAATATTAACTCGTAATCTGCAAAGAATACGAACCTCCCAAGCAACAAAAGATAAAAATTTGAAGACAAGACAATCAAGCAAGCAATAGAATATAGTAATGTGAAAAGGATACAGAATTTCCTTCTCCCACTAGAAAAACGAATTTAGTGAATTATACCCGAAATTGAGTATGAGAACGTGGAAACTTACTATTTATCGGCTGCTGATCCAACAATTACTCCAAATACACCACTAGACAAAAACCCAGTTACAAAAAGAATCGCAATTTGATTCAAATTAAATCCATGACTTTTATACACGGCATAAATGTATGGCCCTTGGAGCCAATCTCCAGCTATTTTCATAATTTAATAAATAAAAAAAAAATAAAAATATTTGAAAGCTATAATCATATTTATTATTACCCATCACAAGAAAGTATACCGCCAAATAATTCATCCGAAAGCTTTTGTATCCTGAAGCTGCCCGTTCATCTTCAGATATTGTTATTGATAATTTTTTCTCTCTCTGACAAAAAGTCAATATAACGCATAGCCCGGATAACACTATGAAAGCTTCGGTATAGTAAATCATTAGAACGATGTACACAGAAAAAAGAGAACAATTCAAAGTTGATCTTTTTGTAAGAATACATGTTGATAATGATCGGAATTGACTATCACAGGGCTTATACGCAAATCTTTTTACTTATAACAAGGCATCTAAATGTCTTATGTTTCTACTCTTGCAAACAAGAAACATTGACGTCACATCGTTTCTTCTATCCGTCATCTTCACTTAAACACATCCAAAAATCCTATAAATACAGTACAGTATATGCATCTTCCACTTTCAAGTGCGACCACATATAATTTTTTACACTGTATAATTCAAAAATACTTATTTATGTTTGTGTCATTGTAATATACTGTATATACAGTGTATGTTGTATATATGACTAATAATTTTAATTAGACTTATTATTACACAATGATTCTTAAAGAATGTCCTTTTAAAATAATTTAAAATAATTTTATTATTCATTATCAATATTTATTTATTTATACAATCAACACCATATAACCATACAATTGATAATAATAATGTGTACATGTATAAGTTTTAAAAACTATTTACTACTAAGCCTAATACAATATTGTAATAAACATGAATTTGATTATTATATCGTATCAAATTTCTTATTCAACATTTGAGATTACTAAGATCTCTTGAATGATTGCGATATCTTTTAATTCGTGGGTTCACGATTCATCAATCAATCTTCTGACAAGTTTATATTCTTGCTTTTGTAATTTACGTAACAACGGAATTCATTGGCTAAGCCGCCCTTGTGCCGAGGATAAAAGGTTGTCATGCGAGCTTTAACCAATCTATTAACTAAATCTCGCATGACAGCTCCTAAAATGGACGCACCAGAAAAATAGATCGTTAAATAAATCTGGATGAATATGGAAATGCTATAATGGTCACTTACCCGTGCACACTAAAAATTTGCAACCCTCTTTTTTTCCTAACCACCTAACAGTAATCATTGTTTTTACGCAGCAATCTTCGCTTAAAAATGGAGGATCCACCACGATAAAGTCAAAAGCATTTTGGAGTGTTGATGAATCACGAAATTTGGTAGGAGTTTTATAATCGTACTGAATGAAATCTTTTCCGTAGATGTCAAATCGAGTGTCAAACTCGAATAGACAAATGGATTGGGTCGGAAGTGGTGTCATCGACTGTTTAAATGCAAGAATGGCTTTATATAAATTTAAACGATCGAGTAAATGATTTTGATATCTCACCTTTAGTTTTACAAATACTGTTGGCGTGCTTATACATGCTATTTGACTGTCTGGATTGGTGTTATCCAAAATCTCTTGTATTATCACATCGGTTGTTTCATCATCGTACTGGGAAGATCGCAATTACGTGAATTTAATTCCCAAACGAAAAACTCTTTTTTTAAAAAATGAGAAATTTATCTCGGTGTTACCCAAAATTGGCTTAACTATATGAGACAAGAAAAATTTCGTGAATGAAGAGAATGTTCAAATATGTCTATAAAAAAAAAGAAATTACAAACCTGCCAATCTTCTTTGAAATAATTCATATCAACTCCTTGAGCGTCCTCCTTTTCATCTTTTTCTTTCGTCAAAATGTTTTCACCAACATCTTGCACAAATTCTTTACGTTCCGTGTCCAGATAATTTTGAATCGAATTCAATGAACGTTGTCTTAACTGTTCGAACTTTAACTGCTGCTCCTGTTGCTCTGAAAAAAATTCACTTAAAGCCGATAACGCGTGCGCGGATAAACTAAGAAAGGAAAATTATTAAATCAGGTAATCAAATGAAACTGCTTTTTGAATAATTACGTTAAATCATCATCGAAAGCAGTGGTTTCGTTCCCGTCGGTTGACATTGCGAAGAAGTTTGGTATCACATTCAATGAGTCGAGAATAACTAACTATATAAAGAAATTCTACGCAGTTTGATTGGCCAAGTCTCGAAATCTGAACTTTAGTGTCAAATGGTACGCTGTAGCCCCTGAAATTAACAATACTGTATATATATAACTTGGGTCTTCATTGAAATATTTGCCCGACATTTATTTTAAAAGGATTTTTCAGATGTGTTTTATTATGTAAATGGTGAAGTTAATTGTGGTTTAATAGATATACATATAAAAACAGTAAATCTTTTTTGCCTTTATATGGAAAAAAAAAAAGAAAAAAAGGAATGCACTAATATAAAAAAACTCTCATATTGTCTACCGTAATGAAGTATATAGATAATTAACAATTTTGCTACGAAAATTTTTACGATGAAAGAACTGGTAAAAATGTCTCTTGGATAAATGCATAGCCGTCAACTAGTCCTCATTTAGGATCTATACTTACAACAGAAGGGCCATGGTCTGAAACTAATTTTCTGCGTTTGTAGTTTTCGTCAAGTTCATCTCGATAACGATAGGCGACTGCGGCGAAATAAAACTTTAAGATGAAAGAAGGATTCATCAGAATTTGCTTTTTTCTCTTTTCCCCAACAAAAAAAAAATAATTTCACGTTACCGTAAGTATAACCGTTACTATGGTAACACTTATGAAAACCGCAAGGTACCACTTGACAGCAGTCTGACAAGCAGCCGTATTGTCCGTTGAAGTGGCAGAAGTCGTGGTGGTTGCGGTGGCCGAGGTAGAAGTCGCGGTTGTATCTGAATCAGCTCGCTTGTTAAAAGAGTCCAACCAAACATGACCCGGTTGCCAAGACAGTCCACTGGTAGACGTAACGTTAATTTTATGAAGACAAAGATCCACAAGCTTATCTTGATTCTTGAGCCCTATGACCACAAGTCCAATTCCAAAGACTAAATGAATCATTGCCGTCACGCTAATTATTACCGCAAAAAGATGGACCAATCTTTTATCTTGCTACATTGGTAATGCATGTTATGCGTACAGTTCTGTTAGTATTTGAACGTAAATTGTAAGTAACATATTTACCTACCGAGTACGCGCCGTATAAACCCCCAATGCAAATAATTCCTTTGACAATATGCCAGACACCATTGATATATCCAAGGCTTGTGGAGAATGGAGTGGTAGCTGAAATTTTAGGAATGTGAATTCGGTTTTAACGAACACGAGTTGTCACGTGATCTAAACACGAAGACTTACTATCCACAAATTCAAAGGCTGTATAGGCTCCGAGAATGCTTGTGCCCAGAACTATAAGGGCTATAAGAATCGTTCCAACGCGTAACCTAATACTAAAAAATCGACGCGAAGCGTATAAGAGATTTTAGAACAGGTCGAACTTCTAAATAATGTCATAACAACTTACCAGCAACAACACTTTTGGACCATTGCCGACGTAAATCACATAAAGCTTTTATGACGATTAAATTAATCTCACGTCTAATTTCATAAAAACTCCGTAGCAAAAGAAGAAGATTATTTATTTCTTTGGGCTCGGTTCTTCATTCTTAAAATAAAGTCGTGGCTTAGTGCATGCTTAGCCGCTTCCTTTTGGTTTTCGATGACTCGGAAAATTTTCCGGGACAATAATAAGAACTTGACGTGGCTGTACAGTTAAAGTGTCCTGATTTGCTATGCCACCAGAACTGGGCATAATTTGATAAGGTAATAATAAGCAAGAGTTGTGAATTTTGTTTTGTCAATCTTTGATCTTTTTGTTGTAGCTTAAACAATTTAATCTCACTAACTTAATTTTTTTCGAAATTATAAATTATTTTAAATTATCGTAATGTTAATGGTTGACAGCCTAAATTTCCCGAATGATAGAGAGACACCCTTCTTTCCCCATTCCATCAGAAACCTCAATCTAACTACCCGTAGCAATTATTGCATAAAGGACGTAAAAGGCACAAAGATAATCCCAATTTTACTTCATAATGAATGAATGGATTAGCTTGCACAGCCATTACATCGCCTCAACAAAAA